GAATTCCCCAGCTGGCTGGGGAATTCCGGGAGTTGAAGTCCACACGTCTTAAACTGGCCAAGGTTGAGAAACCCTGACCTAGCCCTTACCTGCAAATCTCACAAAGGTAGAAGGACTTTCACCAGGCCTTCTTTAGATCACTGGACCAGGCAGGCAGATTCAACCTTGGCAAGATATATGCTGCAGAGGGCTTTTAAGTGAAGCAGCAGCTCTTGAATTGTGCCCCCAAATAGTTTGTGACTGCCTTCTTCTGGGGTTCATCTTCTACTCTCCACTAGCTCTTCCTCCAGGATATCCTGGTGGTCCCACATCCAAGTGGTGAGAGCCAGTAATTTAGGTGCTGGACTACAAGCCATGAGACTGTGAGTTCTGGTCCTCCCTTAGGTAGAGAAGCTGGCTGGGTGACTTTGGGCCAGTCACTCTCCCAGGCCAGCCCACCTCACAAGGTGGTTGTTCTGGGAAAACAGAAGGCAGGAACATTATGTGCACCGCTTTAAGTCGTTACAAAATATAGGCAGGATATAAATCTGATAATACATTAAAAAATAAAAGAGAAACCTTGATTCATCTTTTCAAGACCAGCCAAGAGAACAAAAATAGAGATTCCCAGAGTTGAAGTCCACACATCTTAAAGTTGCCAAGGTTGAAAAAAACTCAAGATCTTGAGCCTGTGATCAATTTGTCTTTTTTTGAACTATCTACCCTTACCCATTACTGTGACCATTTAGGGACAGGGAAGATCAGACATCTCCCCCCCAAACCCAAGCCCTCCCCCCAGGTACCCTCTGAGTCGAAAGGAGTGGGGACCTCTGCCAGGGTGCTCTTATGTTCAAGGCAGGTCTGAGCAAAAGTGATTGCCGCTTTGATGCTAGCCTCCCTACGCCTGGAGAATCCCAACTATGCAACAAAACTGGAGTATCACAACATAAGAACTACTTCATTGCCACTTTACCTGGTTTCTAAACTGAAATGGTCCATGCAACAGAAAGTCCATTAAAAATTTATTTGGAGCGGAGAGTGCGTGTCTCTTTTATGGCCCCACATTCAGCTTCTTGTAAAAAATAAAGACACACTGACCTGTATCCATCTTTGTGGTTATTCAGCAGCCTAAACCCCCTCTGGAGAGGACCTCAAAGCAACCATCTGCTTTAAAGTACTGCAGGCAGGTGCTGTATTCGCACCCGAAATTATAGTTTCTAGATCAACCCCCAACCACTGTACCTACCACCTACAACTGTGCCTTTTTGGCACAAGGCAACACCTCCTAATTTCCCAAACCTTTCAAATGACATCGTGTTTTTACGTACCTTTATGCTCTCATTTTATGCACCTTTAGCTTCCTGGATTTTACTCCTTCAGGGTCCATGCTAAACATTTGCATTTATAATTGTTCTACATTGCTATTCTAACGTAATTTTGTTCTAATCCTTCTACCCTGCCTAGAACACTTCCTTAGTGGGGAACTTTGTATTTGGATTATGACGTGTAGCAACCTCGCTAGATCCAAATTGTGCCACAGGATGGTTGCGCACTGCGGCGCCACAAAGGAAGAAACGAAGCTGAATTCAAGATCGTGCCTGAGGATACTTATAGGAACTTTTATCACTTAATGATAAACAGGACCATGGTACAAATCTGGTAAGATTGGCTGAAGTCAGGCAGGTAGTTTCGAGCAGGCGAAGCAGCGTTTCTCCCCGGTGGACCCCCTCCCAAAGCTTTCCTTGGGCAGGTGTGATCATTTGTGTAGTTGTAACTGCAACTTCTACTTTGATGGAGAGATCAGTGCTTCTCCCAGAGAGCCTTACGCATAGAAAAAAATTATCACAGAAGAGAACAAAATAATTGAGGGCCTCTAGTGAGAGCAGTGTTTCTCAACCTTGGCGACTTTGAGATGTGTGGACTTCAACTCCCAGAATTCCCCAGCCAGCAAGGCTGG